TGGGCAGTGTGTGTCGAGTGACACAGCATAGCATTATATGGGCAGTGTGTGTCGAGTGACACCATTGCATTATATGGGCAGTGTGTGTCGAGTGACATAGCATTATGGACAGTGTGTAAAGTGACATATTGGCAGTGTGGGTATAGTGACAAATGTATTTCCTTTTTTAATGTGGTGTATGTAATAGTTTATGACTAGCAACCTCAGCAGTATAATATGTAATAAAGTAATAGAGGTCCAGGCACTCCTTGGTTAAAGACAGGTACTTTATTAGGAACCACAACAGCAACGTTTCGACCCCAAAAGGTCTGTCAAACCTTTTGGGGTTGAAACGTTGCGGTTGTGGTTCCTAATAAAGTACCTGTCTTGAACCAAGGAGTGCCTGGACCTCTATTACTTTATTAATGTTTGGAAATCTGGTGTTTGATTCCGGTTCAGCAAGCACCCTGGCTCAGATTTATGGGAGTGAGTGCAGTTCCATACACACTACTTAAGGTATAATATGTAATATGAAAAGATCCATTATTTATTTTATTGGCTTGTAGTTTTTCATATTAGTTTCATTAAACTCATTAAAAAGTCTAATAATACAATTATAAAAAAAATAAATAAAAATAAAATATTTTAAAATCATTTGCAGAAAAAAAAAAAAGTCCTTTTCGGTTTTCAGCCAAGGGTATTCTGAATTTTCGGTTACAGCCCAGAATTTTTCATTTCAGTGCATCCCTACCAAATATTAAAAACTTCAAAATTATGTTGTCCAGGAGAGGGTGGGAGAGATCTCTCTGGTTTATATCAAAACACTTAAACTGCTGGAAAAAAAAAGCACTTGTGGCATAACCATCAAAACAACTTGCACCAGTTATTTAGTTTAATGTGTCCCTTTAAAAGCACCATAGCCATGATGTAGTTGTGGTGCTACAAGGCAGCAGACTTCCCTTCTTCCAGGTTATAGCAGAAACCATTTTCAAGCGGTTTCATAAATAAGAGGGGAGTCCCTCAATATCAATTTCATCCATATTTGTATGAAAGTCATAAGATAACCGGAGTGGCTCAGACAATCAATGACATCCAAATATGGAGAAAAATGTAATCGGTAATGCAAACGTTAAACTGTAAATTATTAAAAAGGTGAAAATGATTTTCCCCCTGCCTCCTATAAGACAGACTATTAGCTCTAATTGTCATTTTTTGTCGGATAGTAAGCCTGCCTATGGCCATCCACAAGACCTCATCTAGACATCCAATCTTTGTCCACAAGCGTGAATACGTTCTACGTGCGAGGTGGCTCTGTTCCTGAAGATCTCCCAGTTTTGCAGATCCTGAAAATGTTGCCAGTAATGCATAAGTAATCTTTAAGACCATGTATCTTTATGCAGGTTGGTGCAGCCATAGCTCTGTTTAGGAGCTTGTATTGCTTCTTGCAGTATATAAGAGCATTGTCTTGGTAATCCTAGATCCAGACGCCACTAGCTTGCCAGCAAAATGATGGACATACATACTGGCACTTTACTTGCAAAACTCCTATACACTGTCTACACAGCGCACAGTATTAGCCCCTGACCAAGCCACTGCTTACTGCCGCATACACAAAACGGAGTGACGTAAGTGGACTGATGTGCTGCCAATGAAGCCAGCACATCCACCTTAACAGAAGGCTATACTAGCTGTTGGGAAAGCCATCTGAGGCTTTCCAAAAGATAGTCAGTACAAAATAAAGGCGGGTCAAAGGCAGGGAAGCTATTCCCTTCTGAAAAGGCGATAAGCTCCATTACAAGACAGGGTGAAATCCATATTTTGGTTGGTATATACTTTTTTTTAGCTATAGTTGAAAATTAGGCAATAGGTGCACTTTAATATCAACAGAACCTCAATTTTACATGGCCTGGTTTTTGCAGGGCTCCTACAACATGAATCTAAATTTGTTTTGGTTTCTTGAGAAAACAATTCATAGCAAACCATTTGTGTTGGGTCTGCTTTAAATGGTATTAACTGTTAAAATGTGCAGGCTTTTGCAAGCACTTCAAATCTAAACTCTCACCTAGGCACACCCATAACAGGGTCTATGAAAACCATATACACAATAGAAAGCATACTGTATTAATTCAGATTACATCTACCAACCCCAGTCTAGTATAGAGGAGATACATAAAAAAGAAACTAAATAAGAAAGAACATAACCAATATACAAATAATTGTATCCCTTATACTAGAAGTTTACACAGCAAAAAATAAAACAAAGATCAGTTCTTACACAAAAATACAAGAATACATACAGCACAGATTCTAAGTCTAATCATTTCTGTGGTAGAAATGCAGATTGTGCATACACATTTTTTGTCAATAATGTAAAAAGCAATACAAGGGATGTTTCCCTACAAACATATGCCTTTGAAACATGCCTTTTCTACCTTAGCAACTGCAAAATTGTCAAGGATAGTAAAAATCAGTATGTCAGTCTGATCCAAACATGAAAGGGGAAATCATGTGTGTAAGAAAAAAAATAAATCTAATTTATGTGTTAATGTGGCAACTTATTAATAGACTAAACATTATGCTTGAGGGCTACACAATTCTACATAGTTATTAAAGCCAGGGTAGGAATACAAGTGTAGGAGGCCCCACAGTGCAAAGAAAAAATATGTTTTCATATTTCCAATGTCTAAAATGGGACTGTCAAATAATATGGTTGTAGTTTTATGCAAAACAGTAAAATGTCAATAGAAATATAAACAATGCTTGAATGCAATTTCGAATGGGTGACTTAACATTCGTGGGTTTCATAGCACATACAAACATTGTGCTTATAAATTAACTGATACATAATCTTGCCTTCTAGTGCCACAAGTGTCTGCAACGGATTATTTTCAGTGGGACAAAGTATTGGGCTGCTCATGTGTCAGATGCAAACACTAACTGACATTACATGCCTTTCACTGTAAACACAAACGAGTGAGCATTAGAGTTGCTGTGAACAGGAAAAGGATTTTACGGCCTAGTCATAAAAAAAAAAAAAACCTTAAAGGGGAAAGGAATGCACAGAATGAAGAAGTAGACCTACATACATAATCTTAAGGTTCTACACCTATACACACACACACACACACACACACACACACACAATAAAAGAAGGCTTAAGCATTGAAAAATGTTTGTTTTTTTAATTTGCTGCAAAAAATAAAAATCTAGTCCAGGAAGGGAGGGGTGAATATGGCTTCAAATAAATACCTAGAATACCTGCACAGTATATTGAAGGGAACGTATACTCCTTATTTCCTAGAAACATGGCCCCAATAATGTTTATTTACACCCCCACTGTCAATGGAGATCTGCCAGTATAAGAAGAGTTCCTTAAATCGGCTAATACAGAAAGATAACAAGGCACAGGCTCAGCACATCACTACGCTGACATGATTTTTTTTTCCATTATTTCCCAGCAATCTGCCCAGTTACATGAGACCTGCTACCTTGGTGACAACACTGGCTTCTCCCGTGCTTGCATGGCTGGCCCAATCACCGCACAACAAGGGGGACCTAAAGGTAGATCCCAGCAGAACTACAACTCCCATAATGCTACTGCTGCTGCCATACTAATAGCTGACAAAGCATGAAGGGAGTTCCCCCCCCCATACTGAGGATCTACCTTTCGGTCTCCCGGTACCGCAGACAGTGCAGGTGGCCATCACGTGACCTTTGCACCCATGCCACATCCACACACAGACCGTCACCCCCCCTGCCCCCCCAGTCACCTTGCTGCACCACACCTCGGGGCCCCTCCCCTCCCCGCCCTGACAGTGAGTCTGTCCCCGGTGTGGGCGGTGCGGCCTGTCCCGGGGGTCCTACCTGGCGCTGTGTCCAGCCTGCTGCTCCCGGTCGGTCACGGCCGCCGTGTAGATCTGCCGGTAGCGCTCGGCCAGGGCCTTGCCGGACAGCAGCAGTTGGTAGCGGCTCCTGCAGTCGGCCTGTGGCCCCTGTCCGCCTTCCTGGGCCCCGGCCATGCAGGAGGAGGAGGAGGCGGCGGCGGCTGGCGGCACGGGGAGGAAGCCGAGTCCCCCCGCTCCGGGGGAGGAAAAAGCGGCGGCGGCTGCAGCCGGGGGAGCGGGAGCTGCGCACATCATCCTCCCCGCTGCTGCTGCTGCCGTGCGGGGCTGAGTGTGAGTGAGTGGGGCTGAGTGTGAGTGAGCGGAGCTGGCTGGGCGGAGGAGGAGGAGGAGGGCGCTCACTCACACGAGCAGCATGTCCCAGGCTGTGTCACCGCAGTCCCCGGGATGCCCTCACCATCCTCCGGCTGGCTGTCACCCCGCCCTCCCGGCTGCTCACACGGTGCTCGAGATATGGCGGGCGGGCTGCGGCTCCCACGGCAACGCTGCTTCCCGGCCCGAGCGAGCGAGCGAGCGGCCTCACCGCAGACAGGGCAGCGAAACGCGAAGTGAAAGCCGCACACTCAGTGCTGCCATCTTAGCTTCATGCTGTGCGGCTCCCAGTCTATCTACACTCAGAGCATGCTGGGACACGGCGAACACCGAGCTCCCCCGGCACACCGGCAGAACAGCGCCACCTGCCGGCCGGAGAGAGAGAGACACACTGACAGTAATCAGCAGGCAGGCAGGCAGGCAGGCAGGCAGCTAGCTAGCTGTGTGTATAAATAATAAAAAATAATAATTTCATATCACTCCATGTATGTACTGACATCACACAGCAATACCAGAGAATATCTCATGTCTTCATCTTATTTGTAGAGAGCAATCATATAAGTATATATAAGAGAAATATAGGATGGTTTAATGGTGATGTCATCTATTATATGCTGGGTTCGAAACCTAGAATTACCTCAGGTTAGTGGATGGCTAAATCTCACATCCCACATATTGATGCTCAGCCAGCCTAGCAGTATGCTTGTACTTAACACAGCCTTGGAGTATACATTTTTTATAAGCCTGGATCAAACAGCAGTGTGTGGTCACCCTTTTATTATGTTATTTACTATGCCCAATAAAAACATAATTCCTGTGGCTATGATTTCACACACGTTATTAGTCTAAAAAGCAGACGTGAAGCTATTGAATCCATACAAAGAGTATTGGAATTGCAAAATAATAATATAATATAAACCCATGGTTAATTTGGAATTTTAGGGCAAGGTAAATATCTTCTTTTTTTTTTCTCATTTAATGCACTCAGAATTTCTCTATATACACATGGATACACAGTACCATCCCTTCTAAAACAAAAATCAGCAAAGAAAACCATAGAAAATAAAAATGACTACACCCACTCAAAATTTTTAAAAAGCAAAATGAATTATACTAACAAAAAGACGTCAACTTGATATTATATAACATCTCTGAGAGTTACATAAGAGGGAAAAATGGAAGTGTAAAATTGTCCTAAATTAATTCAGTGTGTGCCTACTGTGTCTGAGTGTGTGTCAGTGTCTGTATACTGTGTGTATCTGTTTACAGTCTACTGTGTCTGTGTGTATTTAGCATATCACGTATGTTAGAGGTGGATATTCTGTCTTCATTTCTCTCACCACTCTCCCAATTTACCGTCAGTAAAAAATACCAGTCTTTCCCTCGCTGGTATTTTTTCAATACTGCCACCGGCCAGACAGCCTCAAATACCAGCTGTGCCAGTAAAATACCGTCCAGGTGACAATACTAGAAAACTTTGACTTAAAATGCAATCAAGGACGTAAACATGTTCACAGAAGTCAATAGAGTCGGTATAGCCTTCCCTGTTTTCTTGTTTCTTGTGGGACTAGCCCGTTTTTTGGTAAAAAAAAATAATTACTTTTTTTGGAGATTCACTCATGGCACTCAATTTATATAGATGACAGTTTTGAGTTCTTACTTGATAAGCATGTCTGCAATCCAATTTCTCTTCTTTAACTATAAATACATCAATATTTGATTGTAACTCTTATCATGCTCACTGAACATTGAAGGAGCGAGGTGTGGACTGTAACCAACATAGAGTGAGTCTTAGCACAGTTATGAAAACTCTAACTTTGTATATAAATATATTAAGTAGTGTGTAGTATTAGTGTGTTCCAATTTAGATTATGGGTCCATCCTTTTAAATTTAAAAAAACAATTTATTTTTTTTGCTCAGTGGTAATCAAGAGCCAGGCAAACTTTGTGCTTAGAGTGTAACTTTGAAAACTAAAAGAGGTAATAGAAACATAGAATGTGACGGCAAATAAGAACTGTTTGGCCTATCTAGTCTGCATAGTTCTAACTATGCTCATCCGCAATCATTTGGTGAAAGATGCATTTTGGATTTTATCATGAACAAATCCATGCTGATATCCTCTTCTCCATTTGCATAGGAAAAAAAATGTCGGAAAGGGCAGCCTTTTATAAAAATTCCTTCCTCACTTATGGAGCATTGATTAAACCATGCAGTATGCCAGATTGTCTAGGTGGCATTCATAAGCCCCAGCCATCCCAGTTACTATATCCATGCTTCTTTCCACTTCCAACAAATGTTCTCACTCCTTCTGGTATGCAGGTTTCCCCAGAGGTAGGTAGAATGCTTACACAGGTATGAGATTGAGATGCTCACTAATTTGACAGAACACCTCACGTGGCTTCTTGCTAATAAACAAACATAGGAGGCCAAAGTAATCTATCAACTTCCCTAAAATTCAAATAAACATCACTACAGTTTATTGTAGTTGTGATGCAACATGTGTACGGTTGTAATGTCTTTGTAATGTCCCTCCCACCGGACTCTAGGGGGAAGAAGGGGTTAAACGCTTACCTTTCTCCAGCGCCGGGCTCCCTTGGCACTGGGGACTCTCCTCCCGCTTCCACCGAATGCACATGCGCGGCAAGAGCCACGCGCGCATTCAATCAGTCCATAGGAAAGCATTTCTCAATGCTTTCCTATGGATGCATGCGTCTTCTCACTGTGAAAATCACAGTGAGAAGCGTGGAAGCACCTCTAGCGGCTGTCAATGAGACAGCCACTAGAGGCTGGATTAACCCTAATGTAAACATAGCAGTTTCTCTAAAACTGCTATGTTTACAGCAGGCAGGGTTAACCCTAGCTGGACCTGGCACCCAGACCACTTCATTGAGCTGAAGTGGTCTGGGTGTCTATAGTGGTCCTTTAATATACTATATCATCATAATATTTCAACCATGTAAAGTGAACAGCAGTCAACAGTGGCATTAAGAACCATCACACACACAGTCTATATTACACACATTGGCTGTTACACACACACACACACACATTGAGAGGCTATTACACACACACACTCACTGGCTGTTACATACACTGGTTGTTACACACACACACACTGGTTATTACACACACACTCACTGGCTGTTACACACACACTAGCTATTACACTCACTCACTCACTGGGTCATATATACACACTCACGGTTTCCTATCATTGCTCCATGCAAATCTCGCCAGGTGTTGCTGCCCTTCTCTCTCCCACAGCACTCGTTGCCAGGATTTAACGTCAGGTATTCCAGCCACACTGCTCGCCGATGATCCAATCCCCTCTGAGCTGGACATGTTTAAGGAACACCGGCACCACAGCAAACAGCCAGGTAAATAATTCACTCGGGCAGTGAATGACCGGTGGGAGAGGGGTACTCTATTCTCCCACCTCCTACCGGTCACCTACACAGTTTTGGCGCCCCAGAGCCGGTGCGCCCTGCACACATTCGCTCCATAAGACGCACAGACATTTCCCCTTACTTTTGAGGAGGAAAAAAAGTGTACATTAAACTGATCGCAAAGCAGTACTCCTTATAGTGGCACCTTTTCTTGCAATGCACGTTTCCTCTAAAATAAGCTTACAGGCCTTCTTGCATAGTAACCTGTAGAAGATTGAAGCACATGGGCACAGTTTTCTTCTCCTTTTGTATCACTGTGCCTCATTATTTATCCCCTGTTTGTATAATTACCAATGCATGTAAATCACTCTGGATGAGAGCAGTATGAGAATTGTTACATAAATAATGACAGGGAAGCAACTTGCACTTTAATCTATGCAAGGAACATACATTTTAGGATGCTTGGAGTAATCCTTTTAAATACACAGTCAAATAATATTAATAATAATAAAACAAATACAGGGAGTGCAGAATTATTAGGCAAATGAGTATTTTGACCACATCATCCTCTTTATGCATGTTGTCTTACTCCAAGCTGTATAGGCTCGAAAGCCTACTACCAATTAAGCATATTAGGTGATGTGCATCTCTGTAATGAGAAGGGGTGTGGTCTAATGACATCAACACCCTATATCAGGTGTGCATAATTATTAGGCAACTTCCTTTCCTTTGGCAAAATGGGTCAAAAGAAGGACTTGACAGGCTCAGAAAAGTCAAAAATAGTGAGATATCTTGCAGAGGGATGCAGCACTCTTAAAATTGCAAAGCTTCTGAAGCGTGATCATCGAACAATCAAGCGTTTCATTCAAAATAGTCAACAGGGTCGCAAGAAGCGTGTGGAAAAACCAAGGCGCAAAATAACTGCCCATGAACTGAGAAAAGTCAAGCGTGCAGCTGCCACGATGCCACTTGCCACCAGTTTGGCCATATTTCAGAGCTGCAACATCACTGGAGTGCCCAAAAGCACAAGGTGTGCAATACTCAGAGACATGGCCAAGGTAAGAAAGGCTGAAAGACGACCACCACTGAACAAGACACACAAGCTGAAACGTCAAGACTGGGCCAAGAAATATCTCAAGACTGATTTTTCTAAGGTTTTATGGACTGATGAAATGAGAGTGAGTCTTGATGGGCCAGATGGATGGGCCCGTGGCTGGATTGGTAAAGGGCAGAGAGCTCCAGTCCGACTCAGACGCCAGCAAGGTGGAGGTGGAGTACTGGTTTGGGCTGGTATCATCAAAGATGAGCTTGTGGGGCCTTTTCGGGTTGAGGATGGAGTCAAGCTCAACTCCCAGTCCTACTGCCAGTTCCTGGAAGACACCTTCTTCAAGCAGTGGTACAGGAAGAAGTCTGCATCCTTCAAGAAAAACATGATTTTCATGCAGGACAATGCTCCATCACACGCGTCCAAGTACTCCACAGCGTGGCTGGCAAGAAAGGGTATAAAAGAAGAAAATCTAATGACATGGCCTCCTTGTTCACCTGATCTGAACCCCATTGAGAACCTGTGGTCCATCATCAAATGTGAGATTTACAAGGAGGGAAAACAGTACACCTCTCTGAACAGTGTCTGGGAGGCTGTGGTTGCTGCTGCACGCAATGTTGATGGTGAACAGATCAAAACACTGACAGAATCCATGGATGGCAGGCTTTTGAGTGTCCTTGCAAAGAAAGGTGGCTATATTGGTCACTGATTTGTTTTGTTTTGTTTTTGAATGTCAGAAATGTATATTTGTGAATGTTGAGATGTTATATTGGTTTCACTGGTAATAATAAATAATTGAAATGGGTATATATTTGTTTTTTGTTAAGTTGCCTAATAATTATGCACAGTAATAGTCACCTGCACACACAGATATCCCCTAACATAGCTATAACTAAAAACAAACTAAAAACTACTTCCAAAAATATTCAGCTTTGATATTAATGAGTTTTTGGGTTCATTGAGAACATGGTTGTTGTTCAATAATAAAATTAATCCTCAAAAATACAACTTGCCTAATAATTCTGCACTCCCTGTATGGTGGCTGACTATACATTTCCAATAGAAGGAAAAGTAGGGACATCACATTGCAGTTTAAATGCATCATAAAGCATGCATATGTTAGTGCTGTACTAATTACAGCCCTTAAAGGACCACTATAGTGCCAGGAAAACATCCTCGTTTTCCTGGCACTATAGTGCCCTGAGGGTGCCCCCACCCTCAGGGACCCCCTCCCGCCCGGCTCTGGAAGGGGGAAAGGGGTAAAAACTTACCTTTTTCCAGCGCTGGGCGGAGAGCTCTCCTCCTCCTCTCCGCCTCCATTACGCCCCGCCGGCTGAATGCGCCGCAGCGGCAAGGCTGCGCGCGCATTCAGCGGTCATAGGAAAGCATTTACAATGCTTTTCCTATGAGCGCTAGCGATGCTCACACTGTAATTTTCACAGTGAGAAACGCAAAAGCGCCTCAAGTAACTGTCAATGAGACAGCCACTAGAGGGAATGGGGGAAGGCTTAACCCATTCATAATTATAGCAGTTTCTCTGAAACTGCTATAATTATGAAACAATGGGTTGAGCCTAGCTGGACCTGGCACCCAGACCACTTCATTAAGCTGAA